ACCATCATAGTAGTCAGTGTGAGAGGGATCTTGGAGTCCTAGTGGAGAACCATTTAAATAGGAGCCAGCCGTGTGCAGCAGCTGCCAAAAAAGCCAACCCAGTTCTAGGCTACATAAACAGAGGGATAGAATCAAGATCACGTCAAGTGTTAATACCACTTTATAAGGCCTTGGGAAGGCTACACTTGGGATACAGCATTCAGTTTTGGTCACCATGATATTAAAAATAAAATGTTAAAACAGTTTCCGCCAGAGATTGTAGGTGCTCCCTTATTGGAGATTTTTAAGAAGAGATTTGACAGCCATTTGTCTGAAATGTTCTGGGGTCTCCTGCAAGAAGGGAGTGAAGTTTGCAGAGAGGAGGAGGAGGAGGAGGAGGAAAAAGAGACGGACTGTAGGGCCTTGGCGCTCTTTGAGCTTGGTTGTTTTCTTGCAGACATTTCATTACCCAGCTAGGTAATATCATCAGTGCTAGATGGGAGTGAGATTTGCTTTCTGACTTGTCCTCATTGGTGGAAATGATCTTGGTTCCTTAATTGGACTGTTGTTTATTGTTTGTTTGTCTTGTTTGTTGGCCTAATGTTATTGTTGGTCTTGATCTCAGCTCATCTGAATCTTGATTGCTGGTGAGGAAGTGTGAAATTAAGGTCCTTCTTGTTTCCTTTTTGGCTTTCTGACGGTCTCTTTTGAACGGCATGAAGATGTTTATGTGCTTGCTGGTGGCTGATTTGTCCGAATGCCAAGCTTCCAGGAATTCTCTTAACATTTTTTTGGACTTGGCTAAGTCTAGGATGTTCACCATTTCCCGGTTGAAACTATGGTTAAATCTGTCAATATGTTGTGAAATTAAGGAATTTCCATCATCTCTTCTGAATAGGGGTGGCATGATAGCAGTCTTCCAGTACTCCAGGGGTTGCCGCAAAGAAGAGAGGGTCAAGATCTTCTCCAAAGCCCTGAAGACAGGAAAAGGAGCAATGGAGAGAAACTGGAGGAGAGAAGCAACCTAGAACTAAGGAGAAATTTCCTGATAGAACAATTAATCACAGGAGCAGCTTGCTTTTAGACATTTTGGGGTGTCCATTCATTGGAATTTCCAAGAAGAGATAGGATAACTATTTATCTGAAATGGTATAGGGTTTCCTGCCTGAGCAGAGGGTTGGACTAGAAGACCTCCAAGGTCCCTCCCCACTCTGTTATTTCTAGTTAGTGTTCATAGATGCACTGCATACATATGCATACGTAAAGGATCTCAGTGTATGACCTTCTTAATAGAATACTGTTGGAAGGGATCTTAGAGGTCTTCTAGTCCAACCTCTTGCTCACACAGGAGACCCTGTACCATTTCACTTCAGTGGTTGTCCAACCTCTTCTTAAAAGTCTCCAGTGATGGAGAACCTACAACATCTGGAGGCAAGCTGTTCCACTGGTTAATTATTCTCACGGTTAGGAAGTTTCTCCTTAATTCCAAGTTGTTTCTCTCCTTGATTACTGATAGTTTCCATCCGTTAATTCTTGTCCTGCCCTCTGCTGCTTTGGAAAATAAATTGACTCCCCTTTCTTTGTGGCAGACCTTCAGATACCTGAATGCTGCTATCATGTCTCCCCTAGTCCTTCTTTTGTCTAGACTAGCCGAACCCAATTCCTGCAGCCCTTCTTCATATGGTTTAGTCTCCATCCTAGTTGCTCTTCTCTGCACTCTTTCCAAACTCTCAATTTCTCTTTTACGTAATGTGGTAAGCAGATTATAAGTGAGCTCAGTTTACTTTTTGGGCCTGGTTTGTTTATTTTATATCCTGCTTTTATTATTTTTACAATTAATTCAAGGTGGCAAACATACCCAACACACCTTCCCTGTTCTATTTTCTCACAACAACTTTCTGGTGTGGGTTGAGATGAAAGATCTTTCTACTTTGGCACCTTAACTAGAATAGGAATAGAATAGAATAACAAGAGTTGGAAGGGACCTTGGAGGTCTACTAGTCCAACCCCCTGCTGAAGCAGGAAACCCTACACCACTTCAGACAAATGGCTGTCCAATCTCTTCTTAAAAACTTCCAGTGTTGGAACATTCACAGCTGCTGGAGGCAAGTCGCTTCACTGGTTAATTGTTCTAACTGTCAGGAAATTTCTCCTTAATTTTAGACCTGAAGGGGACTAGAATTATGATAGGACTAAGGCAAGAAAACAAGGAAGGAAACATTTCTCTTAAATCAAGGGGAGGGGGCAGTTTCTGAATGCTAGACCCACAAAAGAAAAAAAAAATCCATTGCAAATCCGTGGGATTTTCTACCAACAGACTTTGGCCTTATATTTCTATATATCAACTTATATAATCAAATTGGCTCATCTAAGAACTGATTTCCCCTACATTATTCAGTTTAGTGTCTAAGCTGTCTTGGATTTCTTCCAGTACATGCTGCAAGGCCAATGAAATTGACCAAATGATGTCAAACTGGGAGCTGATTGATTGATTGATTATATATCATCAAGTCTTTGTGGGCTCTTAATGACCACATTGTTAGATTTCCTCCCAAGAGATCTGTACTGAATCCAGTTTTGGTGACCATGATACACACACACAAAATGTTGAGGATCTAGAAAGAGTGCAGAGAAGAGCAACAAAGAGGATTAGGGGACCGGAGGCTAAAACACATGAAAAACAGTTGCAGGAACTGGGTATGTCTAGTTTAATGAAAAGAAGGATTAGGAGAGACAGGATAG